AAAAGTAATCTTGAATAAACGTATTTTTAAGTTTTCTAAAATAAACTGAGGATCTTGTTTAATGGCAAAACTAAATTGGGAGGTAAGGATCTATTATATTAGAGGAAATATTAAAGTGCTAGCATTCGCATTTTTATATCAGGAAGTCCATTTGAAACCTGAGGTTTTATGGCAAAATGTCAACGTCTCAAATTGCTCAACTTTTTCCTTTGTCTTCTTTTCTTCATTATCTGGAAATTTATTTCCTTTAAGAAATAAAGCCTCTTGAAATGAAAGGTTTGTAGTTTAATAATTCCCCCAGTTTCACTTCAACTTCCTTTTCTTCTATTAAAGTCAAGCCAAAAATTTTTTTTTAAAAAACTAAAAATAGCATTCATATAAATACATTTGAAAAGGGTATTTATTGCTCTCATTCTGTATGTGCAGGGGAAAAACACTTGGAATGATGTTGTCTAAATACACTTAAAATCTGTATTGAGGTATAATATACATAAGAGAAAATTCACCCATTATGAGTGTACAGATTAATAACTTTTAGTAAATTTATAAAACTAACCATTGCCACAATCCAATCTTACAATATTTCCATTATCCCCCAAATAACTGTGTCATCATTTCACAATCTCTGTTCCCCCCTCAGTCCCAGCAACTCTTAGTTTACTGTCTTTCTTAATAGGTTTGCCTTTTCTGGACATTTCATATAATATATGTGGTTGTCGCATCTGACTTCTCTTTTTTTTTTTTTTTTTGAAGTTCATCCATTTTGTAGCATGTGTTGTAGTATGTTTCTTTTTATTGCAGAATAGAGTTCTATTTTTATGGATAACCATGTTTTGGACTAAATTGTATCCTCCTCCCAAATTCATAGGTTGAAGTTCTAAACACCAGTACCTTAGAATGTGACTGTATTTGGAAATAGGGCCTTTAAAAGAAGTAATTAAGTTAAATGAAGCTGCTTAGGGAGTGTCCTAATCTAACCTGAATGGTGTTTTTATATGAAGATATTGGGATATATGAGAGATACAAAGTAAGTTACCATCTGCAAGTCAAATAAAGAAGCCTCAGGAGAAACCAAACCTGCTAGCACCTTGATTTTAGACTTCCAGCCTCCAGAACTGTGGGAAATAAATTTCTATTGTTTAAGCCACGTAGTCTGTGACACTCCGTCTATGTTAGCAGACTAACACACTAACACAGCATTCTGGTAGCACTGAAGTAGTATCTAATTGTGGTTTTGACTTGCATTTCCCTAATGACTAATTATGTAGGTTATCTTTTCATGTGTTTATTTGCAACTTTTATGTCTTCTTTAGTGACATTTCTATACAAATCTTACCCATCTTAAAAAATTGGGTTGTTTTAGCAGGGCTCCCAGAGATCATAAGGGTTATGGTTCCAGGCCAGCTCAGGCAAAGAAATTCGCCATAAGACTCTATATCAGTAGAAAAAACTAGGCATGGTGGGATGCACCCACCATGCGTAAAATAGGAGGATCAAGGTCCAGGCCAAAGGGAGACCCTAGCTCCAAACTAATGGGACAAAAAGGGTTGCAGGTATGGTTCAAGTAGTAGAATACCTGCCTCACAAGCATGAAGCACTGAGTTCAAACCCCAGTACTGCCTCTCCTCCCCCAAAATGGGTTCTTTTATTATTGAGTTGTAAATAGTCTAAGTATATTCTGGTTACAAGTACTTTTATTTTATTTATGAATTTATTCTCTGGGGTTGTGTCCTGTATTTTTCTATTTTCTTAGTGATATTTGTTCGAAGCATAAAAGTTTTAAATTTTTATGAAGTCTAGTTTATGATTTTTTTTCTTTTAATGATTATATGTTTAGTGGCATATCTAAAACCCTGCCTAACCAAAGGAGACAAAGATTTTCTTCTTTTTGTCTACATGTTTTACAGCTTTAGTTCTTTCATTTAGGACTATTTTCATTTTGATTTAATTTTCTGTGTAAGGTGTGAAGTTAGAATACAAGTTCATCTTTTTGCATATGATCAAACAAATGACACACCACCATTTGTAGTAAAGACTACTTTCCCCCATTAAATTGACTTAGCTTTCCCAATACCCATAAATGAAAGAGCAATGTTGGAGGTATCACAATACCTGACTTTGAATTACTACTGAATCATAATGAAAAAATAAAAAAGCATGGTATTGGCACAAAAACAAACAGAACAGACCCATGGAATAGAAGACTCATAAATAAACCCACACAGCTAAAGCAACCAAAAGTTTAATTATTAAATGTCTTAGCATGGATTTCTTTAGGTTTATTCTGTTTGGGATTCACTCAGATTCTTGGATTCCAGAAGATGGAGTCATTCATCAAATTTGGGAAGTTTTCAGCCATTATTTTTTCACATGTTCAGTTATCCCCACAGTCTTTTTCTTTATTTTCTGGGACTCCAAAGATACAGATGTTGGATATTTTGCTATTATCCCTCAGAGTCCCAAGGCTATGTTGACTTTTTTTCCAGTCTGCATTTTCTCTATTGTTCTGCTTTCAAGTTCACGGATTCCATCCTCCATTATCTCTACTGTTCAGCCTATCCAGCAAATTTTAAATTTCTACTCTGGCATCATTTAGTTCTATAATGTCTTCTTTTTTGATAAAAAATTTTCTGCTATTTTTTCATCACTTCAAGAGAATTTGTAATTATTTTTGTTGCATTTTTACAATGTTTTCTTTAAAATTCATATAATTCCAACATCTGATTCATCAAAGGTTGTCGTCAGCTGATTGCCTTTCTTCATTCAAGTTGTGATGCTCTTGGTTTGGCTTGTGAGCACTGTGTTATGTTAGGTGACTCTGAGTCTTATTTAAGTATTTTATTTCATAGGGAGTTGCTCTGTTTTGTTTATGCATATAAGTCTTTGCTTACTGTCCAATGGCAATTGAACTTCCAAAGTCCTCAGTGGTATTTTTGTCTGCTTGGGCTCCCACTGGTCTCTGCTGGGGCTGCCTGAGGAGACCCGAGGAATTTCCCCTGGCCTAGTTCTCAGAGATTTCTTCATGAGAAAAGGATATGGGGGAATTCTGCTGGTGCTACCCAGCTGCCAGGTTTCTGTGTAAGGTGGGGTAGGGGACCTTGGTTCATCACAATAACATCCTGGACCAGATTGCTAGCTTCAGGGCTGCTAGCAGTGACAGGCGGTTTCTGTGTAAGGTGGGGTAGGGGACCTTGGTTCATCACAATAACATCCTGGACCAGATTGCTAGCTTCAGGGCTGCTAGCAGTGACAGGCGGCATTCCACGGTTCTACAAGTCAGTCCTAGTGTCTCTGAGCAGAGGAGTCTTGGGTCTGTGGAGACAATGAGGCTTCCCTAACTAAGTTACATGCTTTACCTGGGTCTCTCATACTGGTGCCCCTAGTCTGTCTCATCACAAAAGAGGAGCCTTGGGCCCAGGAGGGAAGGAAAGGGCCTCCCCTGGTTGTTTGTTTTTGTCAGGGCTCCCAACCAGTCCCCTTGCCTGAGGTTGCCTGAGTGACTCCATCAGATTCAGGGTGAAGGATGAACTACTGGCTACCTTCTGTTGGTTGGGGAGCTGCAAGTTGCTCTGCCTTTGTGTTGTTTTTCTGGACCTGAATTCGCAAACCAACCCACCACCTTCTTAGTACCAATCAGAGCTTTTTGGTTGTCTCTGATGCTATTTCCAAGATTTACAGTGCTGCACTTTGTAGAAAAACAAGGTTATGCCATCTTTTTCAGATCAGAAGGTTCTCCCTACTGAATCTGGTCTATATTATTTATCAAAATATTTCCCCCTCCCCCATTTTGCTTATTTCAGCCCATTTGTAGATGGATATCAAAAATCCCAAAGAAGACTTTGCCCAATGCATGCTTTAATATATTTTCTCCACATATGAGACTAGGGAAAAAAATGAATGTGTCAATACAACAGCTCTAAATTGAGCTTAAGATCATACACATGGGGATACCATTGAGTCTTCAGCACATAAACCTTGACTTGGGCCATCTTCTTCTAATGTGCTCAGAGAGGATCTCTACATCAAGCATAAGTAGATTCATGAAACCACCGTAGGGAAAATGGGAGGAGGTGGTAGGGTCTATTTCAGGGAAGGCATAGAGCTTTCCTCCTGGGACTCTGTGAGTGGTAAGACCTGCCTGGATGCTTCTGCTTGGGGCATCTCAACCCTGAAAGATTGAGTAGTACTAAGAGGATGATAGTTCTAGAATTGCCCAGGTTAGTCTGGCTCTTCTATGAGCTTCAGTGAGGTAGAGGATTAAACCAATCAAGCACACCAATGTAGAAAGCAGATTTTTATTTGGGAAAGACTCCTCAGCCCATTACATTTATTTATTTGTATTATTTATACTATGTTGTTTCCAAGAAGCATTTAAAGTGATGTTAATGGACACATAATACATAAGAAAATATAAATAGATGTGTGTGGGGGGAAACAAGAGACAGGAATAAGGCTGATGTAAAACTGCTTCCCTGTGACTTTCTACACTTATAATAAACAGCCTATGAAAGAGCACACAACTGTGGAATGTCTGTGCCAGCTCTGACTAGAAACTCAGGAGTGCTCAGGACTGGGGATGTGGGCCACAGACTAGACTCCTAATATGGAATGCGATAGAGGGAGTCAAGTTCCCATGGGAATTTCCCTCCAATCCTCCATAGGTTTCCTTTTCCTGGAACAGACTTGATTTCTTCTTACACATTTCTGAAGTCTCACTGTGAGAATGGCCATGGTGCTGGGCAGTGTAACCTCTACTTGAAGACTCACGCAACTAAGTTCCCGAGGGACCACATCCCTGTTAGAGTCCATTACAAGTCAGAGATGATATAAGTATTCAGAGAGCACAAACCAAGACTATGATTATTCATTCCACAAACTCTTGTTTTTAAGATTCTTCTACTGGATTCTCAGAATCTAAGCCAAACCTGTTAGATGCAGACTTGTAGGGGTCTTCCCAAGTCAGTTGGAAATCTAGGTGATGCTGGTGACACACGGGAGCTGAGAAGTAGCCACCACAGAAGTCGTGCTGTGCCCAGTGACTAAATGACTACACTCCTTCCACTATGGGAGCTCTCTCTCTCCTGAGGAATAGAACACACAAAAAAACCAGTCAGTCAGAGTCTATTGTCTATGCATGCAGTACCAAGGCACACTAGTACAAATTCTATGTAAGGGGTGGCTGCTGTCATAGCAGATCTGAACTAAAAAGTATTTCTTGATTCTTCTTGGGGCCAGTCTTTTCCCCAGGCTTAGGTTTCTCTTCTTTCCTTCTTTGCCACAGCCTCCCTCAAACAATTTTAATTTCTGAAAAGTTCTTACTGTCTTATTCACTCTACCGCTTGTTGTTTTTTTTAAAACATCAAGTCTCCTTCAGACTGAAAAATAAAGGTACTCTGTTCTATTCATCACTCCATATCTCTACCATTTGTTCATGAAGATAGCACTTTTTTCTAAAATGCTTAGCTTCATTCCTTAGTAAGTTCTCTGAAGTCATGTTCCAAAGATTATTATCTCTTTCTGGCTAAACTCAGTGACTTTCCTTCAAGTTATTCCACTTGGTCTTTGGACTTTTTTCCACTTATTCAGTGAGAGAAAGAACTATGGTTTGCATTTCTCAAATTTCTCTGTGTATCATTTCATTTTAGGTTTGAGAATCTAAAGTTATAGTCCAGGAATATAACTGTCCTCATATTATCTGAAATAGGAAGATAAAATATCTGCCTAGAATGTACTGTTCTATACATGTACATCCATAGTACTATAAAAAATCTGCTTCCAATTTATTAAGAAAGTGAGTTTTAGGGGCAATATAATCAAAATACTCTAGGATGAATGTTCTCTGACTAAGAGGACAACTATGAAAAGAGGCAAAAGGAACCATTCCATAGCCTGCCAAATGAAGACCTATACATGAACAAGGATATTTTATTGAAAACAGAAGATTAAAATACTAATATAATGTTTTAAATCAAAAAGTCAAGACAAAAAAGAACAAGGTTGGGAATCTCTTCAGAAAGTTTGAATTTAGCCTGGAAAGAAAGGAACACAGTGGTTTTTCTCCTGTATTAGAATAGGGATGTTTGGACCAGGTTTGGAACAATCCAGAAATGCCTTGAGAAACCCTTTGTATTTGGGCAAGATTGGAAAGAAAGATAATCAGTTTAAAGGAGGCCAGGAACAGAGGGGCCATTCAGTTTATAACCACTAAAGCTAAAAGTTTGAAGTTTCTGCTTCTTATATTTCTGAGATATTTTGGTGGAGTGAAAAGGCCACCAGTGAGTGAGAGTCTGAATGACATCTCAGCAGGAGCCTGGGGTCGATCCCTCAACATAACTTCCATTTTCTCCTGAGTGCAGTGCAGAGAACAGCTCTCACCTATTTTAGGTTCCCATGAGAGTCCCTGCACAGAAGCCCTTGTTTGTTTCTGTTTGTTAAACATTACTCGTGAGAGACAAGTTTCCATGTGAGCCAAAAAATATTCAGTTGAATTCCTATTTCTCTGAATACTTAATAAAGTATTTTTAGAAATGTTTTGTAAAAGGTTAGGGCCAAACCATCACTGCTAACATCTGATTTAATAGTGAGATATGTTATTAACTCAAAGAATAAGCAGACACTTCAAGTAGTTCACGATCAAGGATCACCACCTAGTGGCTGAACTGCATGGCGCATCTGAACTTGGTTCACGCTGCTATGATGACCTCAGAGGCTAGAACCTGTATGGGAACATTCAGCCCCAAGGGGAGGAGGGGAGAGAAAGACTTTGGCCCTGGAGACTTTCTGCCCCACTAAAAGCATTCAAAATTCAAGTTGTAGATCAAATAAACACTGTGCCCTTCAAACTAACCAATCTGCCAAACCAACCTTTAGTCCTGGGCATCTGGTCTCTTTCAGGATCTAAGTGGAAGGTTGAATGTGACCAAGTAATAATTCTTTGAGGGACAAACCCAAAGGGACCTCAAACAATGGGAGCCTTAAAAATGATCTTGGACAAAATCTTTGGCCCCCAGGAATGACTTTACAATTGAAAATTTGGTTCACTGGTGGGTAGAATTATGGCTGTGTACATCTCAATGATAAAGGAAGCTGTGATACTTCCATAAAATAGGAAGAAAGAAAGTTAGTACAAACTTACTGCTCCCAATGGTACTCTTCTCTCTTTCTAAGGCAGCAGCATTACTTACTGAAAAGGGCCCAGGTGAGAGTCAGAGGACTGTGCTCAAACCTGGCTTCACTCTCTATTGGTTGTGAGGCTTTGAACATATTACTCAACCTGAGTCTTACATGATTATTGTGAGGATTAAATAAAATAAGACTTGGAAAAGACTGGCTCTAGCAACTGGAGCAAAAATGTCATCTTACCCCTCTCTCGCTTACAAGAAGCCAAACTACTTAAAGAAAAGAAGGAAATGCAAAATTTTAACCTGGGGCCAGGTGCAATGGTTCATGTCTACACTCCCAGTTACTCATGAGGTGGAGATCAGGAGAACCACAGTTTGAGGCCAGCCTTGTTCAAGACCAGCCCAGGGAAAATTTAGCAAGACCCCATCTCAGAAAATAACCCAAGAGTGGTGGTTCACTCCTGTAATCCCAGCTATCTGGGAGGCATAGATAGGAGGACCATGGTCCAAGGTTGACCCAGTCAAAAAGGCACAAGGTCTTATCTGAAAAATAACCACATCTAAAAGGGCTGTGGTGTGGCACAAGTGGTAGAGTGCTTGCCTGGCAAGCAGAAGACTCTGAGTTCAATCCCCAGTACTGCAATAAATAAATAAATAACCTGAGGAAAAAAATAGATCTTTGACCAAAACCTTTTTCTAAATTACATTTTTCTGTTCAAATGATGAGGCATGTTTTGTCACTATGTGGGTGCAGTAACTGCAATGGTAGTTGTAGTTATCCCAGATTTGACTGCTTTTGTACTTTCTTTTAGGATTTAACTTCCTTTAAGGTACACAGAAAAACAGTTGCTATGTCTGCAGATGAGGACAGTTGTACACACAGCACTCTTTTGCCTCTGCTGATAGTCAAAGGGATGAGTGAGGGACGATCTCAGAGCAGAGGGTGCTTATCAGAATTGTTGTCTTGTGTGGCCCCAGAGAACAGGGTGGCTGTGAGGATTAGATGGGATGTGCACAAGGTCACAGCTCAGTACCATGGGGCGGGGGAGGCTATCTTCACTTCTGCTCCTCTCTGCCTCTCATGGGACACCTGTGAGAAAATGACACAGTGGCCTTCGATTATTTCAGAAATGCCTGCTGGTCTTCACCACTTTCCTCAAATGTGACTCTCTCATCAAGGTCTGCTGTAGAGAGCAGCCCCTGGCTCTCCTAAGGGGCCTTGCACGTACGATATGTTTGATTTTTCAAAAAATCCCTGTACTTCCAACTGTGAAATATCCTTTGAAACCTGGGAGAGATTACAGCTCTTCTTATAACATCCCTTTCCTCTGCGCCCTCACCTCAGAGCCCAGCACAGCTCCCTTTGGGTATCAGCAGAGGCAAGAGAGGAAAAGATTTTGGTCAGATCAAGAAAAGATTGTCATGTGTAAGTTAGCTCTAAGCAGTTTTGAGCAATGGTGGTGAGCTTTACAAAGTAGCAACAGGAAGGAACACTGTCATTTGGGTGTATTAAATCTAAAACGATGTTTAAAAAGTAGTATCTTTGAAAAAGAAGAAAGGTCTATATCCAGAGGCACCAAAGCCCTATTTCCTCCTGTTCCTCTTCAGCATTCTAAAGTTCTGGCCCATAATATTTGGAATGCCAGGGTCGCTTGGGTTTTTCTGTTGTTGTTGTTTTTCATCAGTGTAATGATCCTTCTTAGGACAATCTGAGAGGCCTGGTCCTTGTATATAGCAGGGCTCTGCTGACTTGACAAACCTCCTGGCTGCTGCTGCCTGCTCTGATTTGGGGTAAAGAAATACAGTTGTGCAAAGAAACGCAAGGTAATTGTACCAGGAGGGAAGCCTTAGACCTGAGGCCTGCATTCAAGTCTAGCTCCACCACTCACAGGGGGGCCTCATTTCCTCATCGGTGGCCTGCCTCCTGGGGCTGTGAGCACAGCTGGTGACAATGAAGCTAAAAGGCCCTTTGTAAGCATTCATGCCCTGCTCCCTGCTGTCCTAGGTCCGTTTAGTTCTAATAAGAGGTGGTGTCCCACAAACAGGGAGGAGGCACCCTCCTGCACAGTGAGCTGCGAGGCGAGGCGGCCGGCTGGAGGGTCCTGCTGCCCACCCCGACCCCGACCCCGACCCTCACTCAGCAGGATGCCCCAGGCTCACCGATCGCCTCTCCACACTCCCTCTTTTCCTGCCATTCTTGCCTGCAGTGACATCCAGCGAGCGGTAGCTGGGCGGCTTCTCCTCGGGCAGCTTTGGGGAGTGCGAGCGGCGGCGGCGGGCCCCCCAGCTCCGGGGCAGCGGCTCCTTGTCCTCCTCGGAGCTCCAGGAGCTGAGGCCCGAGGCCGGGGGAGGGGAGTAGCTGCGGGGCCGCGGCCTCCCGGGCCTCTGCGCGCCCAGCCTGGGACTCGGCCTGCGCGGCCTCTCGCCGTGGCGGCTCCTGCGCCAACGCGCCTCGCTGCTCGAGGGGCCTTCGCTGAGGCTGTCCCTGTCTGACCAGGGCGTGGGGGACCCGTCCAGCCTGGAGCGGTGGTGGCCTCCTCTCCACGGACGCTCCAGCTCCCTTCTCCCTGGTGCCCAGGGTCTGGGCCCCCAGTCCTGGAGCTCGTGGTAGAGATCAGAGTGCTGGGGCTGCCTTCTCCCCTCCCTCTGATCCCAGGGTCTGGAGGGAACAGAGGTGAGCCACTGCTGATAGGAGGAGCTGCTGGCTCTCGAGGACACCGGGTCTCTGATCAGGGGGGGGAGTTGGATGACTCTGCGTTCCACAACCTCTGAGCCCAGGGAGGACAGCATGTTGCGGGGGTGGCCGGATCTAGCTTTGAGGTCCTGGGGTAGAGGCTGAGCTAGGTTGAGGTTCTGCAGCTCTTTCTCCAAATACTCCAGAACACCATTGGCAAGAGGAGGGTGAGTGGTGGTCTGGGTCACTGGCATCTGTGGGAAGCTGGACTGTAAGGACAAATCTGGATGGAAACAAAGACAGAACATGCAGAACTGCTGGCCCCAAACACACTCCTGAAAATGTCACTTTACTTAGCTCGACTCCACTCCTTCCCATCCTCAACCTTAGATGACCACCACGCTGGTCATGCAGGCCCCTGGCAGCCCACATTTCTACCCTTGCCCTCTGCCCCCCCCAAGTCTCTGGCAAGGTTTACCTCGCTGCAGCAGCGGGTTCATGGCATAAGATGAAAACGGGGAGCTCCTGTTCGCCCCCCAGTACAGGGGTTTTTCCATCATCTGAGGACCTAGGGCCTGAGCCTGCTTCATGTAGTGGTGGCGGGCCAGGGCTGCAGGGGAAGAAGGAGAAATGCAGACCCTCAGCCAGGACAAGCTCCACCCTCCCACTTCACTTCTGTCCACCTAACAGTCTTTCCATGAGGCCAGCTTCTCTTCTCCCTTGCATGAGAGTAAGAATTAAAGGAACAGGGAATCAACTGTGTCTCTGGCAAGGAGCTGGGAATAAATTTGGTGTGAAAAAGACTACAATTCCCATATCCCAGGAAAGCATACTGCTAAAACTCAACTTCCTACTCTTAAAAACATTTTATTAGGCTGGATGTGATGGCTAACACCTGCAATCCTAGGTACTTAGGAGGCCGAGATTGGGAAACTGCGGAAAAAATTTCTCAAGACCCCATCTCAACCAATAAAAGCTGAGAGCAGTAGTGCTCACCTGTCATCCCAGCTCAGGGTCCAGGCCCGACAGGGCAAACCCACAAGACCCTATTTGAAAAATAACCAATGCAAAAAAGACCTGGAGGTAGGACTCAAGTACTGGAGCACCTGCTTAGCAAGCACAAGGCTCTGAGTTCAAACCCCAACACTGGAAAAAAAAATAAAAGAAATATTTCATTATAACGCCCACTTCAAAGTCACATAAGTGCATAGGTACATACGTAGATATTAGCAGACAGTAATATCTCAGGCCATGGGCTAGAAATAGAAGGTGTAGTGGTGAAGAGCTCAGAGGGGCTCTGAGTCAGGGGCTTGGGGATCTGGGGCCTGTCCAGTGAGTTCAGAGCCACCTGCTCAGAGTGGGAGGAAAAGGCAAGGGCATCATGCTGACAAGTGTTTCTAGCTGGGATGCCAGCCTGGATGGGAGAAAAGCTGCAGGAAGAAGGCAGGGGAATGACAATGCTGAAGTGGATTCCAGTCGATCCTTTCCATTCTCCTCCTTACTTTATTAAGTGTTGGGGTTTCCCCTAAGTAAGGGGAATCTCTAAGCGATGGGGTGAGGCAGGAAAGGGGGAAGGAAATACTGCTCTCTTACAGGGCAAAGAATATAGTGTAAAAAGTAGCACAGGGGGTCCAGAGAAATGTCACTCCGGGCCCCTAGATGCAGCTGGTTTGCAGTATACAACCCATGGCGAGTGCAAATTAAAAATAAAAGCACTTATTTGTTTTTGCTCATGAATTTCTATTTTGAGGTAATTGTGGCTGAGTGTCACATGACTCCCAAGGTCTCTGCCTATCCATGCATGTAGGAGATGCATGCTGCACTTGGGCTCTGAACGATGACAGTCCTCCTGCCTGGTACTCTCACCTCCTTGGTTTGCCATGTCCTGTGGCCACCCCTAAAACAGAAGGCTTTGCCTGAGCCTTCCCCTAGGTACAGTAGAAAGGTGCAAAAGGCAGGCATTCCAGACACAGGGCAGGTTTGCTGAGGACAGTGGCAAAGGGCCCAGTGGGAGGGCAACAGGTGGATCCAGTGTAAAATAAACTTCCAACACAACAGGAAGTGGTTGCAGCAGAGCCTCCGGAAGTGTCCGGAGCTCCAAGCCTGAAGGTGAGTAACAGCCCAGCCCAGAGGAAATGAGATGCAAACTTGCAACAGCTCCCCCCTGGCTGCCACACCTTTATGCCAACTGACAGCCTTCCAGCCTGAAAACAAAGTGCACAGGCTGAGCACTCTGCGGTCCCTTTTGCTAAAGGTGGTGCTCCCTAGCTCCCTATACTGACCACAACCACCATGCATCATGCTTTGCTTAATAACCTGGTCATTTCGCATTGGCTAGTCCTCTGAGAGATCTCCTCAGTGTGGGTGTAGGATGAGGAAGTTGGTCTCAGACAGGTTGCCTTCCCAGCTGGAGGTCTCACACTGACCAGCAGAGCCAGGGTGTGAACCTGTGTCTGTCTGATGCCCAAGCCTAAGTTCTTTCTGCCACACCATTGGGTCCTGTGCCTCCTTTGTTTCTTGTGATGAAGCCCCTTTGTTTTTTGTACTTTCCCCAGGGGAACCTCCTTGGGTTACTCTCTCCATCTTAGTTCCACACTTTCAAAACCCACTTAGGCTAGTTTCTGTCCCCAAGGCCTGGGGACATCTGATTCTTTTGAGAACAACACTGCTGGCAGCCACTCTTATAACTGAATCCTGTCTTCCTCCAGATGGTACCATTTCCCCATTTGGCCACTTCCTTGGGTCCCACTCTCAGAGACTTTTCTTCAGTTAGTCTAATAAAAGGCAAGAAAATGTGTTTTCAACAAGCTCCCTGGTTCTAATGGGAGTCAACTTAGAGCTGACAGCTGAGGATTCTCAACCACACTGAGAAATGTGGCCCTCAGGAACAGGTTTCCTTAAATATAGGCTTTTGAGGGTCAGATGGACTTCAACTTGCACCCCAGCATGTACAAGCTGTGTGACTTTGCGTGACTTCCCAAAGTCTCTGGGCCTATTCTCATCTATGAGCTACAGATAACAGCCCTCTGGCAGGTTGTTGAGGTTAAATGAGCTAACACACATGAAATGCCTAATGGATGACACAGAGTCGACAGATAGTGACCCTCATTGCTGTAATAAATTGTTATAATAAATTCCTTCTCTTGCTTTAGATCCTGGAAGAAACAAATACACATAATGGAGAGTAAACCACCAAAGGTATGTAAGTCTTCCTTTCTGAGGAAAAGCCAGGATATATTCTTTAAGTCATGCCCCTTGGGTCAGAAATGACACTCAACAAACACCCCAATCCCCTCCAGAGACCCACACCTCTCCTTCTCTGCAGCAGGCGTCCTCTGTGTGCCCCAGAGATCTTCACTTGCCTATAACTGGTTACTATTATTTTCCACCCCCTCTCCATTCTTGCAAAACTGTTCTTTGCCCTTTTTTCCTGACTTTGAAATACTTATACTTTAAAAAACTAGTTTTTTTTTTAATACAGTTATACAAAGTTCTTAGTGCTTCTTTGGCAATGGAATTTTACAACTACATAAAAGCATTACACACATTATTTATTGTGTGTACATAGTTGACTGACAAAAATTATCTACTATCTAAGAGCACCCTAATTAATTGATGAAATAAACTACTTCATATTGTAGGCTTTCCAAAAAAGAGAGAGAGAGAGAGAAAGATACACGCACACAGAGTCTTCTGTTTTGCCTCCTTTAATCCATGGTCACTTGGTTCTTTACCTTTTCTTAACGACTGTTCCCCTGACTTGACACTTCAGTAACATCCTCAGGAGATTCCAGGAATCCCATGTACCTTTGAACTCTTGCCATTTTAGCCTTAGATTGTTGAGGTTAAATTAAATGAGGAAGCAGGTGCTTCCTGGCCCTAATCAAGCACTAATTTCAAATAGCCCTTCTCCCAATAGGTCTTTCCATGAGTGATCTACTGAATCTATTTCCTTCTTGTCAGGTAGCAGGTTAAACAGTCCCCACTTCTCAGGTGAGGTGTTCACCTTCCCATGAACTCAGGATTCAAAAGGTAGAGGTCCAGTCTGCCAAGCTCTGAGTGGTTGTGGAGAAGTCTCTTCAGGCCTCACTTCCTCCAGCTATGGAGGCTGAGGAGGGAGAGATGGAGATTCTCATCAGTGTGGCCTGTGGCCCAGACTTTTGGGGAGGAACCCACCTATGGATGAGAGGTATTTATCCAGTTCTTATGGAAAAATATAAGGCTCAATTTTAAAAACTTTCATCTACAAGTCTGAGTTGAGGTTGAATTATCAAGGGTTACTAAAACTTGACGTCACTTTCATTGTTCCTCTGTCTAACCCTCTGTTAACTCTCAGAGGAAGGGGGAAGCAGATTAAGGAGCTGAGTTGTGGTCAGAGAAGTTCACATTTCTCTGGAGAAGAATCACGGACATCCTCTGGAGGCTCCTTTCTGCATCTAGCACATTTATTTATTTGATGATGGGAGGCTGGGAGTATGGAACCCAGGCCTCATGCATGTTAGGTAAGTACAGTACTACAGAGCTATGCTCCCAGCCCTAGCACTGGGATTTTCTGATGTTCAGACAGGCTGACGTGAGCTCCCTTGGCTTCCTCCTTTACACCTTAATCACCCTCCACATATAGTGACTTCCTCTCTCTCTTCAGAGGTCAGGCTGCCTGCTTTCCCTTCCCTTTCTGAAGCTAGGTCTTTCACTGTAGCTCTGATGTCATTGTTATGGCCACTACCACTCATCAGTGATCATCAGTGATAAGTGAAGCTTCATTTTTTACTCCCTTGCTACTGAGCTTGGGTCTTTGCTTACAAATATGCTTAGGGTAATCATAGTCTAAAAAACCTGACAGAAATCCCTCCCTCCCCTAATAAGAGAACTTTCCTTAACAATTCTTTGGTGTGACTCCTCTTGTTACCAAAGTTCTCAGGACAGTGACTCACTTCCAAGGATCTTTATTTGTGGCCTGCACTTCATCATTTTACCAGTTCTTCTAGGTGAACTCCAGCCTCCAAGGAGACACCTCTTTCTTCAGAACCTCTTTTTATAAGCTCACTTCTTATAAAAGTGAGATACATTCACTATCTGCACTAACTTCACCCTAGTCCTGCCTGCTTTTAGTACCCCAGGGACCTAAGAATTCTAAGAAGACATCCTGAGAGAGTTTTTCTCATCTCATCTCACATTATTACTACTCCAGAGACAGTGACTACCTCCCTGAGGCCCCTGAAAGGTAGAAGGGAGCCCCATGGCCCAATATGTGTCCTCTGCTATTTCTCCCTCTTTAAGGAACTTCACATTATCCCAGCCGATCTCAGAGTGATGTGCTCACACAGGCTTTGGCAGCTTCTGCGTGGGACACACAGACACGCACAAGTCAGAGGTACATGGACTTAACACTGTACTGCTGCTACTTACTAACTATGAGACTTCTCTGACCTTCAGTCTCCTTGTCTGTTAAGTGATGAGGACCACTGCCTTCTAGAGCTGTCATAAGGGGGGTTGGGGATTTAGCTCAGTGGAAGAGCGCCCTGAGTTTGGTCCCCAGCACTGAAAAAAAAAAGGAAAAATAGAGTTGTCATAAGGATTCAATGAGAAAAAAATATGCAAAGGGCACACACATAGTAGATATCCAACAAAAGTGATTTCTCTTTTCCTGTATGATCACAACCTTGGCACACAAGTCCGAAACCAGACTCAGACCATTGACCTTCTTGACATCACTGTAGGTTAGTTTGGTTTTTGTCTGACTGGCCAATTCTTTATTCTTCCTTTTAAAATTTTTCTTTCAAGTGAGCCAGAATGATGAGTGGCTGTCTCTGGATGCTCAGATTACTCTGCATTTTCCTGAATTTCTCAAGTTTTCTATAATGTGGTCATTTATTTACATCACTAGGAAGAGGAAATGTGATACAAAACAAACAAAAATCCATTTAAAGCAGCTCATTCAACCCCATTTATTTACAAGGAGAAGATCTTTATAGAATAGCTTTTGTCCTCTTGTTTTCACTATGAATTCTGTACCTAAAACTTCCATAGCATTAGTTATAGTTACATTTTAAACTAAAAAATTTTAGTTCAAAGAAAGATGACGTTAACAGCAAGATCTTTCACTCCCTCTTCCCTTCCCCTAACACAAGGGGGAAACCAGCACCCAGACCAGCAGCTTCACATCACCTGGGAAATTTTGAGAAATACAATTCTTGGGCCCTCTCCAGACCCACCGAATCAGAAACTCTGGAGGTAGGGATAGCAATTAATTTTGATGAAGCCTTCCACATGGTTCTAACATGAGCTTCAGTTTGAGAACCACTGCTGTAATACTTTTCTCCTCTGTTCTATCCCTTTCAAGTTATTGCTAAGGAGCAGTATGACACTTAATAGAGTAAGAAATACATATTGGGTTTCTATACCTGGTTCTTGACACACAGCTCCTAAAATTCCTGGATTTCCAAAGTGATGAATGTTGTCTGTATGATAAAGAGATGACTGATGGCTGAGGTCTCTAGATAGTTTCATGATGGGTGCAGGTCACCAAAAAGATGGAGACATGATTAGGGGATTGGAACCTTCAGCTCAATCCCCTGAACTCCTGTTACAGGAGAAGGGCTGGAAGTTGAGTTGATCACCAATGGCCAATGACTTAAGCAATCATACCTATGTAATGAAGTATTCATAAAAAACAGAAAGGATTGATTCAAAGAGCTTCTGAGTATATAGAGGTACTAGGGGTTTTTGCAGCTGGGGAGGGCATGGGAGCTCCATGTTACTTCCCACATACCTTGCCTTATGTATCTCTTTGTTTATATCCTTTAAAATAGCCATTTTTTAAATCAACAGGTAAATGTAAATGAAGTATTTTCCTGAGTTCTATAAGCTACTCTAGCAAATCATCAGAACCCAAAGAGAGTATTGTTAGTGTAGGTGTCACCTATTGCTTGCAAATTGCCATCAGACATGAGAGCACTCTTGTGGTACTGAGCCCTCAACCTGTGGGCTCTGTTCTCTCCAGGTAGACAGCATCAGAAATCACTAAACTCTAAGACACCCAGTTAGTGTCTGCTAGAGAATCGTTGCAGGGGGGGTAGGGAAGGGAAGACTCCACACATCTGGTGTCAGAAATGTTGAATGATGTTTTTGTTTTTCCTTTATAAATGGCCTTCTCTCACACTGTTCTACTCAAACCACTCTCACTAGTAGCAAAGACTATGCCACAGGCAAATCAGGGCTGTCTGTGGAGGAAATGCCATCAGAAGGCAGAAATACCTGACAACTTTTTTTTTTTTGGGGGGTGGGACTGGGGTTTGAACTCAGGGCTTTGTGCTTGCAAAGCAGGTGATCTACCATTTAAGCCATACCCTCAATCCAAGAAAACAGAGATATCAGAAGACAGAGATGTCAGAAGGGAGAGATATCAGAGATATCAGAAGAAGCTTATGGCAACCTGGAAGGTGGGCAGGGAGAAATCCTCATATCGGTCACTTTCCATGTGGCTCAATGGCTTCCCCAAGCATCATTTACAGGGCTAAGGGCAATGTATTCTGAGCCTGTGGTGGGAGAATGCATGGAGGAGAACCCAGAAGACCCCAAGGCTTTGACCTGGGCATGGGAAGCTGATCTGCTTGGGGCACTGGGAACCAGTACCATCCCACCCCACTGATGGTCTGTCCTCTCTCACCTTGCTCTGGACAGCAGCAGCGGGTGGGGCAGCACGGGCAGCGAATGTAGCAGCAGCAATACTGAGGACAGCATTGGCACCAGCACACTCCAATCAGCACCAGGAGGAGGAGGGCTCCCAAGATGATGAAGATCACTGTCAGCCAATCTGCAGCAGGGGAGAAGCCAAGCAAGGGGTGAACGAACTCTTCTGGGGGGGTCCTCCACTTCTACCATTCTAGAAGATCTAGTAAATACAGCTCTTGACCTTCAGAGTAAGGAACAACATACTGGCAAAAAAGTGTATAGCTTTGATAAGGGAGGTTTGGGATCCAATGACAATAACATAGACTTATTTGTTTCTGCTTTTGTTGGTGGTGATGGTGTTCCCGCATGCAAAATTGTTACAGTGACCAAGTGGAAAATTCCAGTGACACTTACGCAAGACAATGAGCTTCACCTCCTTGTCTGGGTCTCCTGATGTGTCCCCTGGAGCCTCAATGGTACAGTAGTATACTCCGTGATCCCACCACATCACTTCATTAATCACAAGATCAGCTCCTGTGTAGGAAGGAGAAAGTGCCAGCTGTCAGAGGATAGGGCATTGGTTTCTGACCCTTAAGTCCCCACCGTTGTTCTTCCACATCCTAAAGGGCCCCTGGGAGATGAGAGAAAGGTCTCAGTTCTTTCCTCTGAGACCTTCCTCCTTCTCCAAGTAGTGTAATGATGAGTGAACTCTTCACTGGGCCCCAGTAAGTATTTTATAAGCATTCTGGATACACTGCCTCGCTGAATAACCCACTAAAAACCCTGTAAGTGGGTGAGGCAGAGATTACCAGTTGTCTCCCAGTGATGTTCTCCCCTTCTCTCACCATCATAGAAGTGATGGTCATGTATACAGCTGCTGTGGATTAAATGTTTGTCCCCTTCAAAACTCATGCTGAAGAGGTAATACATTCTTGAACAATTTTTGTTTGCTATATTACCATCTCAAGCAGAAGACTTGTTCTTTCTTCTGAAGTTTTTGGACATAGCCTGCATTACAAACTAGATGTATTACAGTAAAAAAAAAATCTACTTATTTACTATAATCTTGAGAATAAAATATTTTTGTTTAGGTAATTTTAACTGATGAGTCTATTTCTGAATATATTTCTACCTAAAAGTGGCAATTATGAAAATAATAATTGTATGTTGTAGATATAACATATATATCATGGTAATTTATATTTAATGCAAGTTTAAGGTGAACACTTTATTATCATCTCCCTGAGTTTTAATTTTATGTGTGTGTTTGTATATTTACTTATGCTTCTATTTAGAAAAATCAGATTTATAATTTGGACATCCTAAAAATGAATCATGGAAGTTTGTGGCGATAGCTTCCATGTTCAGGTTTGTGTCTAAGTCTGTTTATTTGTCTAAACAAATAAAAGCTGTGTTTATATGCCTAAAAAAAAATCTCTTTTTCTGACATTCAATTGTGATTGTAACAATACTATGAAATGGGACTCTAAAAGGTGACTGGGTCATGAGGCCTCTACCGTGATGGATGGGACTGGTGCCATAATAAAAGGATGAGTTTGATACCTCTTGTCCTCTCTTCTTTTGCTACATGATGATGCAGCAATAAAACCCTGACTAGACTTCTCAGCCAATACAGAACTGTAAGCCAATACATTTCTGCTTATTACAAATTACCCACTCTCCTGTATTCTGTTATAGCGCTGCAAAACAGACTAAAACAGGGACCATCCAGAATAAAATCAGTTATTTCCCATCCTCTCTTACAGATGGGCATGGACAAGTCATTCAGTTCTAACTAACAGAACATAAACAGACGCCTCACAAAATGGCTCCCAGGAACTTTCTTAAAAACAACTTGTGAACATCTTTCTCTTTTCTTCTTCATCTCTTCTAATCTGTTCACTGGTTTTGTGGTTTGAATATGGTTTTAGTGTGTCCCCCAAAGTTTCATGTACTGGAAGCTTGGTCCTCAGTGTGGCAATAGTAGATCTTTAAGAAGTGAGGCTTAGAGCACTCTTCTTAAAGGGTGCTGCCCCATGAAGGAATTAACATAGTTCTTCTAGGACCTCAGTTAGTTCTCGAGAGAGTGGGTTGTTATAAAAGAACAAGACTGGTCCTCCCTGCTCTTTGGCTTCCTGTCTCACCATGTTGCCATTCACTATGTGGTGACCCAGCTGAGGAAGCCCCAACGAGAGGCTAAACCAATAAGGCCATCTGATCTTGGTCTTTCAACTTCCAAAATGATGAACTAAGCAAACCTCCTGCCTTTACAAATTTCTCAGTCTTTGGTATTTTGTTACAGTGACAGAAAATGAACTAATTCATCTGGAAAACAAATGTGACAGCTGCAATCTTGGATTAGGAGGAAGAAGAAAACATTGTTGGTGAGCTGGAATCAGCATGAGTCATAAAGACATTATGGAATACAGCTGCCACACTAGGTATGGTCTGTATGCCTCTGTCTACATGAAAGAGAAACAAACTTCCTTATTGCTCTTACTTACTCACAATCAAACTCAATCCTAACTGATACCGGGGGAATGATTACTTAGCTGCATTTCAGATGAGGAAAATCAAAACACAAAGATGCTAAGGAACTAACTGTGCAAATAATACAAACAGTACTTAGCAGAGGTGGACTCAAACCCCTATCTCTCCTTCAAAGCTGGTGCATTCCCTTCTCCAAATTGGGTGGAGAACTCAATAGCTTAGACTCCTTACCAGCCTAAGATGAGCAAGTACATCTGGATATCAAGGAAACAGGTTATAAGATGCACTTCAATACATAGAGATTAAATGCCTATATTTTAAGAGTAAATGTTGCCCTCACCAAAAGAATTTACGTTCTCACAAGCACTGAATAATACTCTGCTACCCCATGAAGATAAGTGAATGGTTAACTATACATTCAAGTTAAGCAAATTCAACAAATGTTCACTAAAGACCTTTTGTGGGTCCAGCACTATGTCAGGCACTGTGGGAGAAGTGAAGAGGAACAAGACCTTCTCTGACTTAGAAAAACAAGTCTGAGGCAGCAAGGCAGAGTCCACATTCTGAAGTCACAGCAGTGTCTGCTGTCTTACCCTCAGTAAGTTGCCAAAGAACATCTTCAAATTCTTAAAGACTTTAACATTATAGGCTCACTTTTGCTTAGTCAGTGGTCATATCTGTAATCCTCTAACATCTGTTTGTCAAGAAATACTTATTTAGGAAATGAAACAAAAATGTGAGGTCATGCAACATTGGAGCAAACTTTGATTTCCGTTTCCTTTTCTTTCACATCAGTACTTACAACGTTTTCCCCTAAACATGATTTTCCAAACCCACCACCTTTCCCATGAACAAACTTACCCTAGACTTAGAAGAATGGTGAAAGTGCTTTGGGGGGATGTCTCCTTTTAAGTCTGACAAATGTTTGTAAATCTGCCTCAATTTCTTTTGGAGTCAAAAAGAGCTTTTTAGGGATGTCAGCATTATAAGGATATTCAGATATGTTAATATCTGATTTGACAGGTTTGTCTCAAATGATACAAACTCAGACATGAAAGTGTCAAAGGGCTCCAGAAAGTCATGACAAGCCTAGAGGTAGAAATAAAACCCAACGGGAAATATTGCTTTCCTGTAGGAGTGAGAAAGAGGCAGGATTTGACTCAAAGGTTGTTGGGAGTGGAGGTAGTAGAAGATACTGCTCAGAATTAGAGAAAAACAAAAGAGCAGAGACTCTCATTCACAGAGACTTTCATCTTTCAGAAACTGTAAAGGAGACTTAAAAAGAGGATTTAAATTTTGAGGTCAGATCAGAGGCAATTCTTCTATGTCTGGAGAAAGTAGAACCACCCTGAATCTTTGAGGATGCACTTGGAAACTGAAAGGAGAGATGTTTCCTAGGCCAAGACTGGCATGAGGACATCAGGGAGTGAATGTAAAAGCATCAAATTTAAGTGTTACAAAGTTGGAAGTAATCGTTAAACTGTCCCTTTAAATGGTCACAGGATATTCATTGATTTCCTTACACTGTAGCTACAGGTACCATGAGTAGCCTACTAGATGTTTTCTCCCTCTTTTCTCTTTTCAACCAGAAAATACTTAAAAAAAATTTTTTTAACCACAGTACATGAAGCTCACTGAAATAGGCTCTGAATGCTGTGTAGATAACTCATTGTATCAATCCTGGATTACAGGCTAGGAATGTGGGGAGCTAATCCATCCTATCCATCCAAAAATGTAGTGACTGATAACTAATGTTCACTGCACACTCACTGTTTGCTAAGTGATTTTTACACATTACCTCCCTTAGTTTTCACAACTCTCTGTGAGACGGGTACTACGGCAAGTCCCATTTTATAGAAATTGAGGCTAAAAAAATTGAAGGGGCTTGCCCAAGTTCACATTCCCTGTAAGTACAGGAGGGGTATCTGTGACTAAATCTGGCTACAGAACCACATTAATTCCACTACTGTGCACCAGGCACAAAGAATAGACTTGATTTAGACACTGCTCCCAGAACATTTGCTGTTCACTCCATTGTGGGGAGATAGACCATCTCAGAAAACACAAAGAAACACAAGCCAGGGAAAATACTGATCTGTCACTGGTGACTGAGTTACTAAACAGAAGCACTGGAATTTGCACCCAGGGCTTTTTATTCCCACCCCAATGCTGATTCTCTAGCAATAACAGGCAGTGGTCTCAAAGTGATCCCTAATCTCAAAAATCAATTTGCTTCGGTATAGGCAAGAAGAGTGGCCAGAGTGGAGCTCTGAGACCTGGGGTTTGAGTAGGTCCCGAGAGCAATTTGTGGAAAGCATCAAAGGAAGGAGATCCACATGTTAGCCCAGAGTCTCAGGAAAGCACAGCAACTCATTCACACCCTGACCTTTAGCCAAAGCGGTCACCATCCTCTGATCCACAGACCAAGTTCCAGGGAAGTAACTTTATACCATGTAGCACATTCTAAGAATCTGGCACTTTCCTCAAACAATGACAGTGACCAAGTAAATCATCAGGCAGCAGAAGAAACTGGGAAATCCCATGCTGACTCAGCCTGTCAGGCTTATGTCTGCATCTCCTCCACCTCCTGCTCCCCCGCGCTTCCCCCACACTCACGGTTCTGGATGGTGATCTTGCGCTGCCGGTAATCCACCCCCAACACAGGCTCGTTCTGCCCCCGCCGCTGGGCCACGATGCGAACTTCCCTCTGGTTGTCATTGCAGTCATTGGAGGGGTCCTGGCCCAGGGACAGAGCTGCCTGGTATGCTGGGGAGAGAGGGCACACTCAAGTCACACAGAACACTCTGATTCTGCAGGTCTGGGGTGGGACCTGAGCTTCTGAGTTGTAGTAGGTTCCCAGGTGATGTCTACTGACTACAGGTGATGCCAGGAACCCCATTTTCAACAAGACTCTAGAGCCCTTGGATGGGTCATTTCCACATTTTGACTGTTTCCTCCATCTTCCTTCCCAACTACTCCTTGTCTCATTTTACAAAGTCCCTCCAGCCTTGCACCCATGGGGTTCATCTGCCTGCTCTTACTAAAGAAGGTTTGCCAGCTATGAAATCTGCTGGTGACCACTGCCTACTATCCCAGTGTCTTCTGCCCTCTCACTGAGCTCAGGTGTTTTAAGAGAAACTCCCAGGAAACAATGCTTCATTTAGGAGTCCTTTGGGGACCCTGTTGGGTGGCTCAGTCAGTGGTATTTTGTAGTTGTAGTCAAATCCTACTGTGAGACACTAGCCCCAAGGCAAAGAATGCCTCCTGTTCTCTTTGTCTCATCTCAGGGCACTTCCTTTCTTCCTCCAAATAGAGTATCTACTTCTACTCTCAAAATTGTCTCAGGCTGACTGTGGGTTCTTTGTTTCTCTGCTTCTGGAGGGAGGGCAAAGACAGGCAGCTAAAGAGGAGGGCTCTGGCTCCTGGAAGCAGAGCTGACATAAGCAGGGCTGTTGTTACTGAGGCAAGACATGGCTGAATTTAAGTATACAGCACTAAGAAGCCCAGATGCCAGGGGAATGGGCTGCCTGGGGGACAGTGAGCTCCACACTGGCAAAAGTGCTTAGTCAGCTGAGCAAAGAACATCCACCAGGAAGGCTGGCTGGGGAAGGGAATATGGCACTGGGCAGGAGGCCTCACCAAGAGCCCAAAGAGCCGGCATCCTGAGGCTGGTCTGCATCATCAGCTCAACCAGGAAGGGACTAGCGGTTAGCACTTACTCTGCCTTTTGTTTTTATACCTGAGCTTCCTTAAATCGTTTTGGAACAAGGCAGTACAAAAAAAAAAATTGAAATAAACTAGTAAGTGACCATGAACAAGTCATTTTGTCAGCCAGGATTCAATTTGTTTCTATAAAATGAAGGGATGGTGTCTGTGGCTTTTTCTCGCTGGGAGGATTTGTGAACCTAAATAATTCCTAGGCTGCAACAGCAGTACAGTACAGAGATGCCTGGAACCTGAGGAGAACCAGAATGGAGAGGCACTCACAGGCGGAGAAGTAGTCAAAGATGGGGTCCTTGCAGAAGGACTTGAAGCGCCAGGTCACCACCACGTCCTGGAGCTGAGCAGAGGTAGTATAGTCACATTTGAGGGTGACGGAGGCAAACAAGGTGACATAGCGTTCTGTGTGCTGGACTGTCACCAGCAAGGACAGGCACCCTAAAGGCAAGAGCAGAAGACAATACTGAAGGTGACCTACTTCTGTTCTTGGCTGGGGTAATAAAAGCCATGCAAATGAGCCAAACACACGGCCTGCGCTCCTGTGTGACTCTGGTTGGGCGCTTCCAGGCAGAGCTTAAGTTCTTACAGGCAGGGTGTGGCTACAGAAGGCTTCAGCACCCTGGGGAGGGATAGGGGAAAAGGAGTGAGGATAACTCCCAAGAAATGACAGTCCATCAACATACCTGACAACAGTTCAACAACAATAAATGCACACCCAATACACCCAACAATAAAAGGACTACATCAGGGTTTGGGTGTGGCTCAGTGACAGAGTGTCTGACCAGCATGTATGAGGCCCTGAATTTGATCTTCAGCACTGCTAAAAGGAAAAAGAACTGCATTAAAATAAGGCCATATCTGTACTGGAGTGACCTTGCCAATGCATTTTTTTTCCCCGTCACTTTTAAAAATGTCTTCCCACTTCCTTGAAGTTCAAACTTCATCTCAAGGTCTACATGCTGCCTCAGCTGTCATGTCCCACCTCACACCAGGCCTCAGTCATTCTGAACTTCACCCCTCACACTGGATTCCCTCCTCCAGCTCTTCCCACTGCGACTGGCTCAATGTGAAGCACACTTCTGTGTCACTTGTCATGTTACTCTCTTCCCCAGGACACTTCCCATCCATTCTGCAGGTCCTCAGATGACTCAACCTCTCAAGCAGCCTCACTGGCTACAAGGTTGGGATGGAGGCCTCTCTCAGTTTCTCCAAAATGCCTGGTCCCATACCACTTTCCCACTTATTGGTGATGGCCTGTCCACTGGCATCTCTGAAAAGGCCAACTGCATTTGTCTCTAACTCCTGTTCAAATACAGACACCTCAGACCATGCCTGTCACCCTCAGAGGCACTCCACAAATGTTTGTTGAATAAATGACCAAGAACACGTTGACCATGCCTGGGGCAGTATAGGCAGTCAACACAAGTACAGATCAAATTAAAAAAAAAAGATCAGATGGTAACAAACTATAAGAAGAAACACTTGGAGGGAGAAGGAGTCTTTCTTTTGTAAAATTCCTTCTTATAACCTACAAGCCTACAGACATACTTAAAGCTGTAGGCGTACCTTGATGGGGAACCGAGTGGCACAGAAGCACCAGCTCTGACTGTGGCATGATCAGGGGTCCATCTGTAACCAGCATCTTGGAACAGTCTCATCTTAGTATGGTTTGCAGGCCCAGTTAGAACATGGGAATGTTAGTGTAGAGCAATCATACTCCAACCTGAAAGTGTGTCACCAGGAGGACTTGTGACAGCCCAGATCAATAGGCCCTATGCCAGGAGGTTCTGTTTCAGCAAGACTTGAATGAGGCTAAAAACTTACATTTTTAACAAATTTCCAGGAGATGTTGATGCTACTTCTCTGAGGATCTTACTTTGAGAGCCACCAGACTAGAACAGATTTTAAAAACAAAACATAAAACCTCTACAGGCTCTAAACTCATATAAAATTGGTTTCAAACCAAAATTTATCATTCACTTGGACGCTGGGCAAACTATTTACTGTTTCTGAGCTTCTGTTTCCTCAGCTATGAGTGAAGATAATCACACAGACACAGGTTGAGCATCCTTAACCTGAAAACCCAAAACCAGAAACATTTTCAGTGCCAACACAACACTCAGTAAGTTTCTGATTTTAGACCATCTCTGACCTCATGTTTTCAGATTAGGGATGCTCAATCAGTCAAATCTATGCCAATATTTCAAAATTTGAACACTTCAAAAATCTGAAACATTTCTGGTCCTCAGCACTTTGTATAAGAGATGTTTAACCTGTGCTTACCTTATCAGGTCCTTGTAAGAATGTAATGAAATAATCCACTTCTTGGCATAATGCCTGGCACACATGCTATTGAGTTGTGTCCGAGTCTCTTCCCTCTTTTCCCTTATTATGAAAACTGAAGAGAAAGAAATTCAAGCTGGGGTTTCTCAGGTGGAGCCACCTTCATTTTGACTGAGTCACCCCTTCAGAGCAGCTAGGTGGGCCTATCTTGATGGCTAGAGTTACATGATTCTGGTCCTGCCTCACCTTCTGGCCATAGCCCTCATAAGACAGTCCTCCAAAGCATATGATGAGTACCTTCACCTGCTTGGCTCCCAGACATGACCAGACCTATCCCTAGTATTGGGCTTCGATAAAGATGCCCTCGTGACAGGTGTGTTAGAGAGAGGCTCCCCAGCAGTCTAGAGGAGATGTGTGCCTGAAGAAGACTTTGCAGAAGGAAGAGATTTGACCACAAGACTCAGGTAGGATGTAGATCACACAGAAGTAGAGAGAAGGCAGGGAAACTCATTGTTTCAGGAAGGAAGAAAAGGAGTGACCAAAGCCCCTTCGCAGGAAGGACTGTTACCTAGGGAGCCTGGAGAAAACCAATCTGGCTGGTGTCTCCACTGTAAGTGAGACAGAGGGTAAATAAAGCGGGGCTTATGGAGGTGAGTAGAAGGGTGGGATATGGGGGTGGTGTCTACATCACAATCCATTGTCTATTTCTAGTTCACCGATAATTACTGAAGGCTTTTCTGAAGAACAACAGGGTGAAAGTAGCATTTTTAAGAAGATAAATGACTTCCTTATTAGCTGTGAATGGAAAAGAACATCATTTTCAGAATAAACCTTTAGGAGTTTGGGAGGAGGGAAATAGCTACTGTAGGATTCTCAGAACTCAGGCCAAGCAGAATGGAAGGGCCATGGCTAGCACCTCAAGGTTTCTATGGATTACTTCACAATCTGATTGTTTAGCCTTGACCCTCCTCCGTCACTACTTCTTTGTTGTTTTCAGAACTGATCTTTCACCTGTTAAGTCTCCAACTAAACAGAAGAAGCAGCTACAGCTAAGATTTTGATAAGGAATGGAGTGCCACTGTCAACTCTGGCTTATTTTGTTTGGTGACACACACTGAACAAATGAAATAGAGAGGTAAAAAACATGGATTTGGGTCTAAACAAAACCTCAATTTCACATAGCACCTTCCAATATTTTTTTTATACACTAAATGTGATCTTGGGAGGAGGTAAGTTGTGCTACTGCATAAAGAACAAATAAACCTGAGGCTTGGAACAGTTGAGACTTGTCTGTGGTCATTCTTTTTTCTAAGAGGGTCAAAGTCAAGATTCTGTCCCTAAGCATTGCTATTGAAATTCTGCATGGCTATTCTTAAAAAAAAAAAGAAGATGACTGGGACTTACAAGTTCTCAAATAACTGGAGCTATGGCCAATAATGAAAATATAGCTGGCAGCAGTCACTCGGGCATGGAAATTTGGTTGAAGGGAAATTTGATATGAGTAGTTTGTTCTGACCCTGGTCTTAGAGATGGAGTACAGAAATGGAGCATTTGGGAGTGGAGAGGGCAGGTTTGTGGATGGTCAGAAAAGGGAATTTGGTTACAGCCAGAAGTTACACTGGGGTAAGCTTCGAAGATGGTGGAATCTGATCCCTTAAGGGAGGGGAATATGGACAAGAGTGATCACCTTGATTACCAACTACACACTCAGCTCCCCTACATGAATGCCCTCATTATGGGCAAGTGCCCCTGGGGTGACCAACTCACTTTTGCCAATGTCAGTGCTGGCTTTGCTTCCTAAGGACTCTTTCATCCTCTCTACTTTTTTATCCCTTAGTGAATTTTAAGGCTTAAAATGTGCCAGGTCCCCATGTGTTCGGACCCTCCTTCCAAGGGTCTTCCAACTCACAGCATCCTACACAGATCATGCACCTTCACCTCTGCCCTGCCATACACACAGGGACAATGGGGAAGAGTCCCATAAGAGGTATAACAACCCAGTACATTCTTCTCCTTTCTCATGACTGCTGCTGGCCCTTGACATCTATTGTGCACCAGGTAACATAGGTTCTTTGTCTCTAATCCTCTTTAAAGCCCCTTAGAGTAGGTACTAGCTCTGATCACCTATATGGCAAAAATTCAGAGAGTATAAGCCAATCCTCCATGTGCCCAACAATACATGCTTAATCTAGTAAGCATCAGTGTCAGGATTTGAGCACAGATATTGCTGGCACCAAAACATAATGTTTACCAGGCAGGCAAGCTTCACCTTCCAAGATGGAAGGCAGCCTCTAGACTCTCAAAAAGCCATAGAATTTTCTAAATTGGGAGGTAGAGAAAGGAAGTAGGAAGAAGCCTATCTCAAAGGCATAAATATCTTTCTTTCCTTTCACCTCTAACCTCCCTGTACAACTAACCACATTAAGCATCCACAGCTTTCAGCAGGTTAGGATTTTGAAGAGGAGACCAAAATGCAGCAGAATTTGGACTGAAAATATGAGCAGGTTCAAAAAGAGAAATGCCTTGGTTATAGATGCCCTGAATGCGTCTTAGTCCTTTCAAATTTAGGATTAAAGTTTCCAAATTCTTGACTTCTCTTGATTCTATGACAATTTTTTTCTCCCCAGTTCATTGCCACCTAATTCCCTAGTTGTTTCTGTCATTTTCTCTTGAAAACTTTAAGTCTAGGGCTTGATTCCCTACATTAGATTCTGCCTCCCATCCCTATCCTAAAGACCTTGTAAGTTATTCCCAAACTACAGTTTCTTACTATTTGCAAAATTGGGATGATAATACCTGCCTTAGAGGGGGTGATAAGGATAATATATGTTCTTCATTTAGCAAAGAGCCTAGCACACAGTAGACATTCAATAAACACTAGCCATTATTTGTATCATTTGTACTTATTTCATCTGAATTAAGGAGACTGAGATGAACTGAGGGCTGATGGCAAAAAGCAAAAAAAATTAAAATTATACCAAATGCAATCACAATAGTCTTCTCTTTGTAAAACAAGATAGTAGGTTAAAAGTTTTGCAACTCTGTACCCCAGAAAACCCATTCACAGTTTGCCTCTTCTGTGAAAGAGGAAGGGAGGAAGACCTGTCATTTAAGAGCAGAAAGGAAACTTCAGATGAGCCATTCAAGCTCATGGG